CAGGCTTCTTGCTAACTGTTCTTATATCTTAAATTAACCCATTTCTATAAATCTATACCTTGCCACATGGCTGGTGGCTTACTGGCGTCTTTACATGTTGCTTGTCCTGGCTGTGGCTACAGTGTCTCCCCCCCCTTCTTCATGTTTCCCCAATTCTCCTCTCTCCTTGTCCCGCCTATACTTCCTGTCTGGTCACTGGCCATCAGTGTTTTATTTATATAGAGTGATATCCACAGCAGAGAAGAGGGAACATCAACTGAGAGAAAGGGTCAATAATATTAGGCTGCACACAGTCCTGTATGGGATTTTGTTAATTAGGAATTCAAAGGGGAGGGTCCATCCCATTGGGCATGGTACCATCAATGGGCATGTAGTCCTGGGTTCTATATGAAAGCAGGCTGAGCAAGGCAGTAAGCAGCACCCCAGGGCTTCTGCATCAACTTCTGCCTCCAGGTTCCTGCCCTGTTAGAGTTGCTCTCCTAACTTCCTTTGAGGATAAAGAGTGCTATAAAAGTGTAAGCCAAATAAAATCTTTTTCTACTACTTGCTGTTTGTCATGGTATGACATTTCAATAATACAATCCTAACTAGGACAATAACCTCTCCTTCCCTGCTCTGATAGTGTCAGAGTCTCTCATAATCTGTGTCATAGCAGTCGAGATCTTCCTTCAGCCATCATGGCTGGAACCATCCTCGGGGCAGCAGAGCTAGTGATAAAGAGTTCTTGTGTCAAAAACCAGTTGAGTGAATAAGTCTTCCTCACCTGAGACAAATATCTCCAGATGGTTGCTGGCCTCTGACCAGATATGTGATTCACTTCTGAAATATCCATAACATCTAAAGGGCCCATTCTTGATGGATGTCACAGGGATCTCAGGAAACAGAGCCTGGGACTGTCCAGGTTGTGTGTACTGTGCCTGGAGGGACCTGGAGAAATTCTGATCTCTCCCAGTCACAATGAACCAATCATATCCTTTTGATGAGACACACTTGAGGGTCACATTCCCACTTGAGGTCACCACGGGGCTGGGCAAGGCTGACAGAGTAGGTTTACCATGGTAGAAACCTAGGAGAAGAAGATGTGGCCTGTTAAATGATAAATTGTCTCCAGCAGCTGGGCTATGGGTGAAAACATTTGGGAGATATATTTCCTGAGGGAAAATGTAGAGGACATGATGTACTTGATCTCACAAATAACATGGTATAAATCAGGAATGTTATTCATGCAGTGTTGCTGAACAATTGATGGAATAAATACCTGTTTTCTATCAAGAGACCTGGGAATAGATGTTGTTAATAGCCAGGGGACCATCAATCTGTAGCTCAAAACCTCACCTGAATACCCCAGAATGTTTATCCTAGACTCTGTCTCCCTAGATTTTATCATTAGCTCTCAGTTTTAGGGAAGATGTCACATACACTTTACAGCCTGCTGACATCTACTCTATGTCAGTCAGAGACCACACCAGATTAAAGGCCCTTTAGCTATAGAACCCATCTTCATTGTCACTTCTGAGTTGAGTTTTGATGCAATTATGACTAGTTGTTCACTGGAGTTTCTATTACACCAGAAATCTTTTTGTCCAAATTTATACTGTGTTTAAATTTGCAAACAATCAACCACCTGGTATCATATTTTTAGAAGTGTGAACCAGCAACAACTATGTCAGCCTGATCTATGTTTTCCTTGTTATTGCATGTGGGTCATATTCTGTCAGCAGCAGAGCTTTCAGGGACCAACACACAGAAAATGTGAGGACTGTGGCCCTTAGTGTCCACTCACCTGTCACCACCAGATCGAGGGGGTCACTATGCTGTGTCCACCAAGCATAGTTATAACAGTAACAACGATATCGTCCTGCATTATGCTCTGTCATGGATGGAATAGAAAACTTGGCCCTGTGATCAGGCACTGGTGCAGTCAATCTGTCCAAGGGTGCTGGGCTTCCTTCTTTATACAGGAAATATATTTGAGTTTCCATGGTTCCCACACACCAGATTGTCACAGGATTCCCTGAGGTGATCACAGAGCCTGGCTCAGCCCAGATGCTGGGTTTGTGGAAGGTCCCTACAAAGAAGTAGGTGATAGGTATGTGGGACTTTAAACAGTTGCACAGTGGATATGATACTTGGACTTGACCCTTGAATAACAGGAAGAAGCATGGAGCCCTCTGAAGACCCTCCTCTCTCTCTCTCTCTCTCTCTCTCTCTCTCTCTCTCTCTC